CGAGCAAAAAAGAACTGCCGTAAACTTTTAACATAGTTTCTACTTCAAAATTAGAAACAAATATTTTCAATTTACAAAGATATTTTTCATTGTGATTGTCTACTCGCATGCCCCATCTTGTTCGCGAAGATTTCAATCGGCGCAGCCACAAACGAAAGTGGCTAACGACCATCAACGTAAAAGGGAAGGGGGGGGGGGGTCATATTTTCCACGACTGACTGATAGGGAGCTTCCGCCGTGTTGTCGGCTCTCAATGAGTGAAATCAGCATTGCGCGATGCGTGGCCTTTTGCTCGCACAGCCGCCCTGTTCGGAAGCCGCGTTGCAACTACCGGCCCCTTCCCCCCTCTCTCTTCATAACATGCCTTCTCGCGGGCTAATCGCGACGAGCCTATGCCACTCGCCGTCCCGCCCCGCCCCACCTCGTGCCGTGTGGATGCGCGGACGGGACTGCAAAGGGACATGGTGAGCGTGCAGGCACGCCAGGCCACGCCGGTCCAGCAGGCCGGGGGTGTCTTCAGGAGGGAGAGCAGCGAGGTCTGCAGCTTGCAGCCTCGTCCCTGTTGCTCCTCGCTGCAAGCTGGCGCTGCTACTGCTGCTGCTGCTGCTGCCCATGCACAGGTGTAGCGTGCTCTTAATTCACCACATCCTCCTGACTCAACTAGCTCGGCGAGGGGGATCTAGCCGGCCCACTAGACCGGCGAGAGACGAGGGGGTGTGCCTCTGGTTCTTCGTCACTGGAAAAGAAAATTATAACAGGTTTTCGGGGACGAGACGTCTTCCTGGAGCCGGCGCGGCCGCGGCGCTAATGCCTTTATTTGCCGTTCGCACGACCTCGTGTTCTCGGCCGTGTGAGGATCCTCGTCAGTTTAGCGGGCCGTGTTCGCCATAATTAGCGGGCCATTTTTCATGCTTTATTTTTTTGGAAGCTATTCCAGTTATTTCCTTTAGTGCTGCAGCCGTACAGGCGCGACCAAAAAAAAAACAAAAAAAAAACGTTGTTGCGACAAATTTACAGCATTAAAATCTGTGAAAGAAATACAGCACTCCGTAAATAGAGCCTCGTTCCTTTCTCCAGCACATTCAGATGTTTGTGTTTTTATTTTACGAAAGGCACGTTGCATACCTTCGCGGTCGTCAATGTCCCCGTCCCCGCCGCCAGGCTTGCCATGTCCACACGGCGGTTTGCCGCAGCGCGCCCCCCTTGTCCTGCAGGCAGGGGCCGGGCCAGATCGGCGCGGGTCGGGGCGACGGCTGCGGCCGGAAAGAATTTCGCGCGCAGCACCCTAACTCGGTTGGCAGCGGCGACACGAGCCGCCAGACAATAAACAAACTGCTGGGCGGGAGGCTCGTGGTCGCCCAGGGCGGCCCGACTATAGCCAGCAGGTGCAGCGGGCCAGAAATGAGACGGCGAACGTTCGCCAGTGTACTGGACGGCCAGAGGGCGGTGAAAACACAAGACGGAAGGAGTGGTGTGTACACTTTTGATCCGATTTCATGCGAGCAGGTTTGGATAAGACGCCCCTTTACGCCAGCGTAAATGTGATTATATCGGATCCATTCTTTAATTTTATGACATTGAAAAAAATGCGTCGTGTTAGGCGTGGTAGGAGTGAATAAGGATTCGCAATAACTATCTTGGGCACTCGTTTATTTATTTATCTTGGTTCGCCCGCCGCGCCATCCCACGCTATTTTCTGCGCTCGCCCGAGCTCTTTGGCCGAGTGTTTTAATTACTCTGCTATGTGACCCGAATGGTTTTACGATTTGACGGCCTGGACTAGTGGACTTGAAGTTGAGGGGAGGGAGGGCGGGGATCAACGACGACGGTCATCCGCTCGTCTCTCCCCGGCAACGCGTGACGATGGCAAGTAGTGTAGTAGTGGCCCCGTCAGGCCGAGACTTCATTTGGAACCGGAAAAGAAACGCCGTTAATCGAAGGAGAGGAAGAGAGGGAAAAAATGAGCAGGTTAGGCGCGCGGGGGAGGGAAAGAGAGGGGGACAGACGGGCAGGTTAGGGAGGGGGGGATCCGGTGGGACACTACTAGTAGCTGAAGAGAGAGACACACCACTGGAGGGCAGAGAGATTTAGAGTGATTGGTTGGAAAAGCGGGTTGGGAACCGCTCGGGACCACGCCGAATTGTCACGCGTCGTCGTCGTGGGTTTAAAAATTTATTGCTCAAGATGATGTGTTTTTTGTGAGTGTCCTGCAGAGCCGTCCCCTTTCTTTTCAATTTGTTTTGACAAGTAGGCGTCATATAGCACTCAGCCCCCCCCCCTCCCCCTACCTGCTCCTCCTCTCCCTGTCTCGCTGAGGCACCCATTGCATAGGTCAATTCTGTGCGGCTGGTCATTATCGCCGTTTAGAGGCATTCCCCTGCAATTCTCCTCGCAGTATCGATAACGGGCCGCCACGCCGCGCCGCGGGATATGTATGAGCTGCGCGCGCCCCGGAGGTTGTGCCGCACCCTGCGCTGGCTTGGTGCGGCACACCAGCGCGCCCTTTCGGATCAAATTGATTCGACGCATCCCTTCTGCCTTTCTTCTGAGGTGCGGTCTGCGATACTTTTGCCGATTATTTTGCGATAACTGGTGTTTTGCGAGTTCTATGCTAAAAGGATGGCAACTTTATATCACAAACTGAATTATTAAAAGTGAAGGGATGATTGCTAAATCAATTCAAAAATAATGATTTATCGCAAAATTAGCGTTGCTGCTTCAGCTCACAATTCAGCTAACCTCAACCTTCCGTATGCTGCTTATTGCTTGTGGTAATGGAAATTGGTGGAAATGCGCAGTTTATTCAAATAAGGTAACGTTTCATGTCACTGTTTAGAGATTTTAACGCAGACGCGAGACGCTCCTCCCTCCAGCCGGCCCCTACTCCGTACTCTTTAGGTGGGCGTAAACTATTGCTGTGCACGCTTACCTGCAGGACGGTGACCCTCCCTGCTAAGTAAATTCTAGGACTTAGTAGTGCTACAATGGTAGCACCGCTTTCTGGGGTAATATTTTTCCAGTGCGGACATAAGCACGATGAGTAGTCCTGCTTTCTATCCGCCCGCGTCCACCACCACCTGCAAACTTATTCAGCCGGATATTGAATACATAGCGGGAGGGATGAGGATTAAAAAATCATCCGTGAATAACAGAATAGGAGGGAGTCATGACGGCGGAGAAACAACACAACAACAACAACAAACCGACGCGACACGTCTCGTTACCGACCCGCCTGCTCGCCTGTTATTTATTATAGACAAAGCCCAATGCGCTCCGGGGAAGAAAGTCCCCTCCGCTGGACATTGGCATTGTGGTTCTCATTAGGCAAGGACCCTGCGCGCCCGGCCGTCCGTACGCCGCGTGGCGGAGCGCGGGGGCGGCGGGGGCGGTGCGGGAGCCCACGCCGCACCCGCTTAGCATACGATGATGTATTATTCACTCGCCATCACTCGCCGGCGAGCTGTCCGCGTCGATAAAAGCAGAAAACGGCGCACTTTCTTCCTGTCGGCGCAAAACTTTTTATCGCCTCTCTGCTGCTTTTTTTTATATCGATAGGTATAACTTACTATTTTGTAATGAATCACCACGTTAATTGAGCCGTTACAAACGTTTTGACGCACCCGACCAACACGACACGCACATTATGCCAAAAGGCGAGCGTTCGACGAAAAATCAAAAAGTCAGTGACCCGCTCATTGTGGCTGGGAGGACCCGCTGGGAACAGAAAAAATAGGGGGTTTTATATCGCGTAGGTTCATCAATCACGA